TGATGGACATTGGGGAGGGTATGTACTATGGTGAGCACTGTGAACTGTGTAAGACTGATGAATCACAGACCTGTATCCCTGAAACAAATAATACATTTTATGTTAATAAAAAAATAAATAAAAATATGCATGCATAATCATTCTGTGGATTTCCATGTAGTCAGAGCACTCAGGGCTGAGGAGGCTGGAATTTCTATGTACGCCTGATAGAAAATGGGATATGGGCACTGAAGAAGCCTCAGAAATCTGCGAGAAGTCACCAGGGTGTCTGGAAGAAAACTAACCTGTGCAGGTGCTGGGTGAGACTTCACAAGGCTGGGCGAAGAACTACACCTGGGGCTGGGAACCCGCTCCAGGTTGCACAAGCCACACAGGGAGGGTAATATCAGAACCCTGCAGGAAACAAAAGCAGCAATGACTCCCCCTGTTGCTTGCACTCAGGCTGTCACCCCATCCTACTACCCCATAAGCATTTCTCACCCTTTGAGTTACCAAGTATTTTTCAATTTTCTGTTTTAAAAGAATTCACCATTGCTTTGGGTTGCTTTTTTGGATACCCCTGCAGGAAGACGCACCCGCACTGGAGGCCCTTGTCTGGAGCCAAGGGGCGGGGGAGGGGGGGTGTCCCAGGTGGAGTCTTCCTTCAATGGACTCGGACTCAGGGGCAGGTGGGTCTTGGATACACCAGGGGCCCACGGGTAGGCTCCGCATGGGGCTCTCAAGGTTCACTGGCTAATTCTTTCCCTCCTCAAACATACTTCAAGCCAGCAGGCCAGGTGATCTGAGGCCGAATCTGACAGGGGACAGGGTGGGCTGGGCACAGTGGGGGTGGCACTTCAGACCCGTCGGGGCCAGTGGGCCCCAGGGAAGCTCGGTGGAGGGCAGGGGAGCGCGGGGGCCAAGGGACATACCTAGAGTCTCCATCCCAGGCCCCTGAGTCTGAGTTCCCCTTCTTACCCAAGGGGCTGAACTTGACTTTCACACGTGACCTCCAGGGGGCGCCCGCCTGGGGAGCTGCTCTCAGGGTCCCCGGGTAGGAGAGCCGGGAGCTGTGGGCGCACGCGGAGGTTACTGTGTCGGGCTCCTCCCTGCAGGGCTCCCCCGGGCCCCCCGGGCCCCCCGGGCTCCAGGCGCCGCGTCTCCACTGCTGGTCCCGGGGGCGAAGGGCCTCACTCTGACCGCAGACCCGAGCCGCCAGCGACGCGTCCGCGCGGCCCTCCGGGGGCCGAGTCCGCACCTGTCGCCCCCGAGGCCAAATCCCGACCTCTGCGGGCGACCCCAGGAGGCGCACACGAACCCGCCGGCCCTGATCCGGTCAGGTCCTGCGCCCCTGGGGAGTGGCTCCGAGACTGCGGAGGGGGCTCAGCACGTTTCTCAGGGGGCGTTTACCCGGGGAGGCCTCCCACCTCACCCGCGACCACCCCGCTCAGCTGAGGGGTGCCCGTGTGGGGTTGAGCTTCCGCGACAGGACCGTGGCCGGGCCCTCTCCCGCACACCTCCTGAGACAATGTCAGTACTTGCAGAGCAAACGCGGCCTCGAGACTCTGCGAACCTCGTGCCGAGGGCCCCTGGCTGGGCCCGGGAAACCGTGGGAACTACGTTACCCATAATGCCCGGGGCCGCGTGCCCAGGGGATGCAGCCAATGAACGCGCAGAAACAGGGCGTTTCCGCTTGTGGACCAGAGCATCTGGGAGGGACTTCCGGCACCACTGTCGCGGCAGTCACTTTGCTCTCGCGCGCCCCGGCGATCTGAGTCCTTTAGGAGCGGGAAGGTGCGTCCGGGGTGATGGGAACGAGAAAGCGATAGGGGAGGGGTTGTCCCCACTGCACGGCAGCTGGCGTGAGGTCGACGGCGGTGGTTGACAACTGTGCACGGGTCCCGTCTCTGTCGCCGGCTTCTTATGACCCCCGCTCCGCCCATACAGTCCGATGGCCGGGGCCACGCCCGGAACCCTGCTCAGGTGAACGCTCGTCCCCCGGGCCCTTCCCGCCCTCCCCCGACCCAGGTCCTAAAGGCCCGAGGGCGGGGCGCCTGCTCGCGTCCCTGCCGCCCAGGGCCCGGTGTTTGGGACAGTGGGGAGATCATGGGTGGCGTCCCCATATCTGAAAGCCAGTGTGATGAAGTGCGAGAATGTTACAGGCAGAGGGACAGGTTTGCTGGGGCGATTGATCCAGGAGCAAATGCTCCTGGAGAGTGCCGAGTTTTAACTTAATTCTCAGGATGCTGGGAGGCATGGAAGGTTGTGAATAGAAGAGACACAGGATCTGAGTTAGGCTTTTCAAAGTTTTCTAAAAGTTGCTCAGAGTTAGAACAGACTGGAAAAGGGATGATAACACCGAGGCACAGGGAGGTTGAGTCTTTGTCCAAGGTCACACAGCTGTAAGAGTCAGCACTGGGGACCAAGGCTGAGAGATAATGCAGTCATCCCGGGTCACCTGGCTCCAGGGCTGGGCAGGGGTGCAGGGAGGCCTGAGCCTATGGAGCCCTGCAATGGTTACATCCCTCTGATGTCCCTCATCTTCTCACAGATTCCCATGACCAGAGAAGCACTTACGGACTGTGGGAAGGTGAGTGAAGGATATTCCAGGCCCTCAATGGTCCTGATCCCACCCTTTGTCTCTGGGATTGTGTCCTCTGACTCTTTGCCTGCCACTCTTCCACTCTTCTTGGTCCAGGAGACCCTGAAGAAACTCCAAGCCCAGGGTCATAAATCCAGGCTGGAAGTTATATGGAGAGGTTCCTATTGCTGGCACCCAATACAATGAGGTATAAAAGATTGTTCCAGACATAGGTATCAGAATATGTTCATGCTAGGAGGTGAGGATGAGTTTGTTCAGGGAACTGTAGTTCTCCCTTCTTATCATGAGAGAGAAAGGAGAACCGAGAACAGGTGGGAAGGGGTCAGGCGTGGAATGGCTCCATGAAAAGTTGGGTGTCTCTTCTGGAGGTGGTGGGAAACGTAGGTTTGGAACAGAGGGAGGTGATCTGACGCAGGTTTCATCAGGCTCCCTGTGGCTGCAGCCTGGAGAGGGAGAGCAGATACTGTTGGAGTTGGGAGGCGATGGGAAGAACAGGGAAGAGGAAACTGCTATACTTCAGGTGAGAGTTGGTGGTTGTACCAGGGAGGTGGCTGTAGACATGGGAGAGCCAGCTGGATTCTGGATCCGTTTTTTAATTAGGGCTGCCCAGAATTTCAGATTTTGCGAATGAGAGAGAGAGGAAGAGAGTTTCAGGGCTCAGCAGCTGGAAGGATGGAAACTCCATTAACCAGGATATTAAAGTTGGTAGTAAGATTAATTTTCACTGGGGACATCAGTTTTGTTTTTGGCTATCTTTTTTTTTTTTTTTTGAAGATTTT